TTCTTTGACTTTTCTTCGGCTTGTGTTTTTTAACGAGCTGTTTTATGGTGCTAAGGATGGCGAGACTCACTGACGATGCCGGCGAAACGTCTGGGAATTTACTACGTCCACGGTCCTACTCTGGAAATGATGGTGTATATAATGGACTCCGTACTAGGTGCGTTCCTCTAGGTCTTCCTACCAATATGACCGAGTTGCAAAAGCAAGGTCAAACAACTTCTATACAACGATAGGAGACTGTGACCACACAAAAGGCCGCACCATCTTGGTTTTCAGACCTTCAATTAAAAATTCTTTAGATCGATGAATTACAACAGTACTTACCAGTCACATCATCGGGCCTCCCGGTTATAGGTCCAATCATTCCGTTGGAACCCGCTATTGGTTGCTGGTAGCGCAGCTCAGGCGCAATGAATTCTGAATAACCAGACATCTGCGTATTTAGCTGAAAAAGTTGGTCATCGGCTAAATGACCACTACTTAGACCACCTGGCCAGTGATAGAAGTATGTCAAGCGTAGATGGCCACCGGGGCCGAGTAGGAGGTTTTCACGATGCAAATCGCTATTTTTGTTTGATTAAACGCACACAAAAATGAAAATATAAGTACGGTGGGAAAAGGATGAAAATTTACCGAATTGATAAGAATGTATTGAAAGGCAGAGATGGTTCTTAAGATGTGATAAAAAGACTACTTTGTATCAGTATCTAAGATGGTAGGGTAGGTAGATACGCCAGGGCAAAAGGAAACGTGATAACACAACCGTTCGACAGAAAGTAGGTCAAGTGATTGACTTCACTTGTCTCTGACGAGTTTTAGATTGATGCGGAGAATAGCAAGACTCATATATGATGCCGGCGAAACATTTGAAAATTGTGATGACTACCAAGGCAGAGAACTGCGGACAGGGTGCACCAACTAAGTCCTCCTGACAAATCTAGCAAGTTTCATAAATGAGATTAGACCACGTCCAAACGTATATTCTTTTTAAGAAGGGATTTAAGAATACACGTAGATAATTAATAAGAACAATATTCCTCTTAGAAGTGGGTTGACCTCATTGTCGCAACTTGGTCTTCCTGTCAGGGAGACTTAATAGAACGCACCTAGTCCGAAATCGTCTGCCATAGTAGTTGTCATAATTCCCAGCATCAGATAGTGCACGTGGTACATTCTCAAACGTTTCGCCGGTATCTTAGTCGGCATCATCAGTGAGTTTTGACATTCTCCGCACCAAGCTACGAACTCGTCAGAGATACGTGAAATCAATCTCTCGACAAACGTTCTGCCGAAAACGGTTAAACTATAACTCTTCTCTATGTCCTGGCATATCTATCTACTCTCTACCCTCTTATCCAACTCCCGCCCTATCACAATTTCTCGCTTGTTTACATTCCACTCGCCAAAATGTGTGCCCCTTTGTGGCAGATCTAGTGTGGCCTCATCACACTTGCTATTCACCCCGACCTCCTCTCTTTCGATCGGCTAATCCAACTCGGGCCTATAATCAGGATCCCCTCATGGTCACGTAGATCCGTTCCTTATATTTCTAGTTGACTGATTTCACTTGGTTCCAGTCTCATTTTGCATTTCATTCCAGGTGCTATTTCTTAAGGCCCTAGAAGCACGTACAATGCCGCCTCACCGAGCAGATCGCCTAGGCTCTGATTCTTATGCTTGCAGATATCAGGCATTGTCTTCTTGATTAAGCCCAAACTACCTGAGGTCACAGAACTTAGGAGTGATACCATTACGTTCACGACAGTTTATAAAAGTCAGATGGGAAGATTTTTAAACTGTTGTGAACGTTATCGTATCACTCCTAAGTGCGGTAACCTTAAAAGACCCTACCACTCAGAAAAGGTTAATGATTATCTCCACCAGGCTTCTATTCAGAAACGAAGTGAGACCTATGATACAGAAAGGAATAGACTGTTTAGGTTTATAGATATTAGGTCAGAGCCCCGGCGTGATCTGTCCAGGATCCTGTATCCGAGAGCTTTTCAAAAACTCAACAGCATGACCAAAATGAAATCATGTATGATTTTTGCCTTTATAAGAAAACGGTATGACGATAAATTGCGTAAGTTTGTGATTATAAGACAGTCTAGGTTAAAGCCAGTAGGACCAGTTGAAGTGGCTTCCGAGTTAACAACACCTACTGATCAGCACAACGATTGAAGAAAAGTATTAAACTTATAATCAATTTTTCTCAATTCCGAGACAACCGCATTCCTAGAAAAACGACTCCATTTTTCAATCCAACATAATAGAAGCCTTCTAAGGGACATCCTGGTGGAGGTTCTCAATATCGCCGACAAGTTCCCTGAAGAGACAAAACGATAAATGGAGATTGAACTAATTCCAAAAATCTTGACACATCAAGAGCCTATACAGAGGAACAGCTTCGCCATGACACTCAAAACCCTGGAAACGAATGAACAATTAGTCCTTCAGGTGGACAAAGGAGCTACAGTGATAATGGAGAAAAAAACAATATACCGAGAGGATGGAACATATTCTACGATACAGGACAACATATCGTATGCTAAACAAGGACCCAACTATGAAGTTCAATGGAAAATTAAGCGAAATGCCGAAAGATATGCATAGGAATATTCACGATGGAAGTAGAAGTTGAGATGTTACTGTTCCTGGATGTTGAAGTGATTCGCTCTTATGGAACGCTCAAGAAGAAATTGTTCAGAAAGAACTCATATGGTGGAATAATACTCAATTTCCGATCCCATCATAATTACAGGCTAAATATAGGAATAATGAGCATGATCATCTGAAGCCTACGCTTAACAGATGTAGAATTCTGGTACGAGGAGCTGTACAAATTAATTCGGATATTCCTCGACAATGGCTACCCTAACGAATTGAGGCAAAGATACACACGGGCCGTGAAAAGCTGATGGCAGAATGGGGTCCATGAAAGAATAGTAGGGACGGAGAAGGATTCACAAAAGTGGATATGCCTAATTGCGAACTAACTCAAAAACTACGGCC